ACGAAACATAAATTCGCAGGCAGTTATTATAGTGATTAGTGTTATTGATAGAAAATCCCACGTTTGAACAAATGAAATCTCATAGACACCTTACTTAAGTAATTATATTATTATTTGAAATAGCCCCAACAGGTTATACTTTTTAATCATAAATTTTATTATTCTAATGATGAATTTTATCTGTTGTTGTTTAGTTTATTTTATTTTCGTTTTTTTTTCTATCTGTATTAGTTTGATTGAGGGTCATTTGTTATTTTCCTGTTAGTAAGTAAAGCTTGAGAACTTTCAAATAGAATTTAATACTAATTCAACCAGTAATCGTGTTACCAACTCATTCACAATCAGAAAATTAGAAAACCTCCTAAACACAGACTTAATGCAGCTCATCTCACTTCGACAGCCACTGGGATGACCTTCCTCTCTCCCCCCAAATGCGATGGCACATGCCCACTCCCTAAAAAATCTATCATTTTCATCTTCTAAAAAACAGTGCAAATTAAAGTAAAATTATAAAAATTGCAGTTTTTATCTTTGTTTTGTGGTTTGAAACATAAAAAAAAATGTGGTTATCTAAAAAAAAAAACACATCATAATCCCATGATTATGTGCCCCCATCAGAAATCTATAAAAAATATGGCTGCCTCAAAAATTTTGATGGCACAACTTACGCTCTGCACTTCTGTAATTAAGACAATAAATTTCTTTCTATTTTATTGATGTATTGCTTTCATTTAGTCAATTCTAAGGGGTTTTTATTTAATTTTTTTTTTTATATTTCATTTTAGTACTTCTTAATGTTACGCATTTATTTAGATTATGTTCGGGGAAATATTTAAAAAAACATTTAAAATTTCTTATATGGAAATTAAGAATATGGTGAATATATTTTTGGAAATAATTATTTTGTCTTGGATTCAGGATTTTGGAATGTAAAATCCTTCCTAGAAGTTTGCATTATATATATTTGTTTTAATATTATATATTTTCATAATATTAATATATCATCAATTTACTTCTGCTTTTGTTTAGACGTGCTCTTGATTTCGTTTATTCTTCTATTTTTTATGGTGATATAAAAGTTAATATTGTTTCAAAGGGATGCAAGGAAGTCATTTTATTTACTAACTTGATTGTAGTTTGTAAACATTTAAAAAATAAATCTTAAATTTATGATGTTACAGAATTTATAGCATTTCACTTCCTACGCATCTGGTTAGAACCCATCATAGAAAAATAAAAATGGATATTTGATGAGTAGTCATAAAAGAGACTATGATTAGCTAGGCTCGTTCTGTTATTAATGGAGTGATTGCGTTCTTCACTAATGATCCTATTCGTCATCTCATTGGTAGATCTGTTGTTCGAACTGTACAAGCCGGCCAAAGTAATTGGCCGACTGGTGCTCCTATTACCAGTATTTATAGCATGATCAGCAATGTCTCTTCAATGTTAAGTTTAAGCCAGACATCGATCGTAAAGTTTGTTAACTATTGATAGTTATAATTTCGATTTCCCAAAGGGTCATTTAGACAAACTTGAATCCGGTTGTTTTCCTGTATAGTCAACCTCAGCAAGGCCAAAAAAAAGTAGAGGAATGGATCTAACTAAGCTTATACGTGTTAAAAGAACTACAATTTTATACAATACAATTTGTTTGATACAGTTTGAATTACGTTTTGGAATTATAGTGGCATAATCTTGTTTTATTTTGTAGGATTTTTTAAATGTTTCGAAAAATAATAAAATATTAGGTAATTTATAATGCTTGTTCCATTCGATCAAAATTGACAAGAACTATAGAAACGTTGCACCCTTCTATTTGTTTCCCTTATAAACATAACGCTCCCCCTATTTTCAAATTGAGTTGGTTTGAAATATTTAGAATTTTCTCGGACGGCGGAAAGGTTCTTGAATTCTCAATGAGGACCGAAAGCACTGGGCATGGAGCAGGAAATGCGAACAGTTCTCGGGCCAGTGGGAAAGCATTCAGAGAGTAGAGATATTACCTGATGTTATCTCGGCCATACGTTTTGGCCAACGAACTCTTTCCTTCTAATAACTATTATTAATTACAGCATAAATCTGTATTATCATTATTTTTAATAGAGCTATAACACTTTTTTGTAGGATGAACGCTCGTGTGATTCACTGATTTGGGTAGAGTCGACTACAAATATTAGGATGTAATCGTAAAGGAACGCGATGAGGTATCGCGATGCGTTCGCTTCCTAGCCAAGCCCCTTGACATCCCCATTCAAAGGAAGAGGCCAAGGCCAAGGTGAAGCATTTAGTAGCAAGTGCCAGAGTTGACAAATGTTCGATAGCTCTCATTATCGATTGGCTATTATCGATAAACATTTTTATGGTTATGGACGTTCGACGTGTCAATGGTGTATTAAATTAAATCTACTCTAGCTGCCTTTCTACCTTATGGTTTGTTTCAAAAACTTTCTTTCGTCTTACTTCATGATGTTATGGTTTTTAATGTATAAAGGTTAATGTATTGTCGAAATCGATATCTTGTGATTCAAGATTTTAAATAATGGTATATATTTCCTTACTTTCATTAGCGAAAGAAATTCTTCACCAATGTAATTAATCAACCCATGGAAGTCTTAGGTAATATAGTTGATAAGGATGTACTGTTTCAAAAGTAAATTGCACCGAAATGATCTTTACATCGCCGGAAGAAGTAGTTCATCTAACCCACCGCGTTATGAAATATACGTAATTGGGAATCATTTCGAAAATTCTTGTGTTCATTTGTCGTGTTGTTTACACTTGTTTTGGCTCTGCAGAATGTTTTTGTGTTGTGTCATTGTCCGTTGCAGCCTCGTGCTCCCGACGTTCTGGTGTAATCTTTGTTGGACAATGCTGATAATGTGCTCTAATGAGAGATAGTAGATGACAGATGGGATGTTCCTTTTTTGCTCCCTCCTCCTCCCCTCCCCCCCGGATCACGTTCCCTCATTGGACACAGGACCGCTAGCTCTCTCTCGGCGATCTGGGCCGCTGCCAACTGGGCCACTCTGTGCTTTAGCAGTAGCCGTTTTCATCATCTGTCTGTCATCCCGCTCTACTCTATTCCTTTCATATCCTTTTCTTGGAAAGAAGAAAGTGACATATTTTTAGTCATAGTTTATACTAACTGCAATCCTAACACTGGAGGAGTAAAATAGAAAATGTGGATATTAGTGGCACACGTCTTCATGAAGATTATAGTGTATATCAATCTACTTGGAAAACCAAAACCATTATAAGACGTTGGCAGCAGTTATCAAGTGAACCGTATTCAAATCGAGTTCCATTGAATCAAGCCCAGCCTTCTAATTAGCCCAGCCAATGAATGACAAAACAGATTCCATTTTCTTAAAATTTTCTAATGATTTTATTGAAAATGACTTAGCTAATCAAATGTTTTTGCTATGTGCAAACGTTCTTGCATTCTTTGTTTCTTAATTTACGATTCAGCCATGACCGCTTAAGATGTTCGGATGAGACGGCTTACTGTAATCAAACGTGAGCCATCCGAATGGTACGTGCAAAACTCGATGACTGGTTTAGTAACTTAACCGTTAAAAGTCGCAATTTGGGAATGTAAATCAAGGAGAAGGCTCCGTCACCTTCCATTCTTGAAATATCCTAGCCGTCGTGAAAGCAAACTGTCTGCACGGCCGAGCATTCCTCCTCCACCACTGCCAGTAAAATGCTCAGTGCCCTTGTTTCCAGAAACTATTTACGACTAGAATTTCTGAGAAAACAAACTTAAAGAGGCAATTACCCATTGCCTCTCCTACTTCTTTCTTATTTCCTTTAATGGTTTCTAGTTATATTTTCTTCTATTTTTCCCCCAGCTTTAGTGGCGAAGCAATTCTGCCCTGATTGTTTTTGTTCACCGACATTTCAATTTATGGTTTCAGATGATTCGCTGTATTTTAATTAACAATATTCTGAAATGCTCAAATTCAGCTATAGTTGACTCGTCTTTCGTATTATTGTTGAAATCAATAATGGTCCTCAGCGTTCTGTATGACTTTGATATTAGAATAGACAGTAACACAACTAGATCGCTAGATTGTGCTTTAGCCTCTAGTAAAATTTCAACAAATATATAAAGGAAACCATAAAATAAAAGTTAGAAAATCGTATCAAATTCAGTTTATAAAGGTTTGAAAAATATATTTAACTGTTGTTTAAAAATTGTTGAAAGGAAAAACAAATCACCGTTAAGGGGTGGAATTACGTAATGGAGCAATTTTTTTTTCCAACCTAAGCTAAGACACATTGTCATACGAAGTTAAGCATGAGTGCTCCTGTCTACTTAATATTATATAGTTAAAATTCCCTTCCGGCATTTTCCTAACACACGCCGGGTTATGCTTTAGAAAAAAAAAATCAATCTCCTTTGAATAAGAAAGTGTTTTTGAGATAAAGATGCGTATAAAAAAAAAGGCTGTTGAAAAACAAGCCAGCCCGTTCTGAGTAGGTGGCCTCAACAAAGCTCTTGTTATTGGTGGCTAGCGGTCAATAGGCTATTGTAACAGGGGCCCATTCTTCCAAATGTTTGGGCGCCAAACTGAGTTAGAGCCGTTCGCGATTCATCTCCTTTATGCGATTAGGCGATATTTTCCGAGCTGTCAGTCGGCCCTAGCTCGATTCACAGTCCAGAGCGCCTGCCCTTCGTCGGCCATTGTCCCTTATGTCGGGGTAAATCTATTCGTCAAGCTTTCTTCCTCGACCCCTGGTCAGTTGCTCTTGATTGGCTCAGAGGAAAATTAACTGTCGAACTTTGTATTTTATTATATTTTGCATGGGAGGATTCCATTTCACACGGCAAGTACGTGGGTCAACTAATAAATAAGTCCAGCCCATTCTTTAACATTTCCTTTTTATCAAATGAGAAAGATGATACCGAGGCGTCTTTGGCGAACAATGACTGCAAGCACCCAAGCTTGAAGGAGTAGCTCGTTGGTGATTGAGGTTTTAGAAGCGGAATCAATTTAGGTAGGTTTAAGAGGATCCGGTACGAGGGCGCTCGGTGGCCCGTGGACCAATGGGGTGGAATGACCCCTCCCACCTCGCCCTGGGTGCCTCGGTAATGACTTCACACCAATTAACTGATTCAGGAAGTCCGGCGTCTGTACCTCTCTGGGGGCGGGTGCCCTTGACTGGCGGTGTGAAGTTTCAATTATAGATAATGGCTTTATATTCATTAATTTTACTTTCTGAAATTACATATTAATTCGTTATTATATCAAAGCTTATTTCAATTTTGAATATTATTATTTATATTATTTTATTTTTGGAGGACCATGTGCTGGTTTGAAGACATAGCACATAAGCAGCATTAATACAATCACCAGTTATCAATAATTATATAAAGGACCGATCACTAAGTTCGTTTTCTGCTCCGCCTGTATTTTTAGCTTTTTCCTTCTGTCGCCTCTCGTTGTGAAATCTTCTTCCGCTCTGGATGTGACGGAATCCAAGAAATGTTTTTTCCTTTTTTCCTCATTTTTTTTTGCTCTCTCCTTCCTTGTCTTTTTCATGCCATCCTTTTCCATCTGTTTGCTCCCCTCCTGTTAGCGGCAGCCTAAGGCCGTTCCCGTCGAGGGTATGATTCGAGGGGGTTCTGTAGCAATTTAAGATGCTTATCCCGTTGACACGTTAACGCTTTGTCGCGGCTACCGGGAGATATGGACGGAAAAAATGAGGGACCATTGTGAGAGAAGTGAGTGTGACAACCCAGGGTCGTTGATCATACTTCTATTGCGCTTCACAAGATGGTCACAGCAACCAAATTATCTGTTACGCAATGTAACCGTAAACCTATCGTCTCGTTTCTTTTTATCTATCCTTTTCTTTTGAATAAAACAAAAATAGTGTAAAACTATTCGATTGATGACGTCGTCTTCCTTTTTTTACTATAGATAATTTAAATGTTTCAAAGGATCTTCTCTAATTACCCTCTAACAATCCGTAATGTATGACTGCCTTTGATGATTGGTTAAAAATAGCTTCCCTGATGGCTCTTAATGACGACAAACTGCCGCCTCCCATCGCGATCGGCGAAGAAGAAGGCGATGGAGGAGTTCCGGTCTATTTGAAGATGTCCTTGCCCCCTCTCGAAGACAAAGATCCCGAACTCTCCATTTCATCGGGTGTTCTCTACCTGAACGGAGGATTCGAAACGGCTATATATCTCAGCGGATATTCTTTCTGCTCAAGGCTGTTTCTTTTTCTCCGTTTTGTTTCTTCGGCTTGTCCCTTTTAGTTAGGCATCCCAAATTACAGGACGTTTCGCCTCGATAAATTCTTGATCCACGGATCTAAGAGGTTCTTCGCCAGAGTTTAAGTGGAGTACCGATTGGTTATCATAGTAAACAATGCAGGAAGAGTTCGGAGGACACTAGGTTTAATATTTATTTTATAATGCAGATTTATTTAATCTCAAAACCATTTATTTTTTATCAACTTGACTTTACACCATTATGATATTTGTATTTATTACTTTTACTTACCTATATATATATATATATATATATATATATATATATATATATATATATATATATATATATATATATATATATATATATATATATATATATAGCTTTAATATTTATTTTATAATGCAGATTTATTTAATCTCAAAACCATTTATTTTTTATCAACTTGACTTTACACCTTTATGATATTTGTATTTATTACTTTCACTTAGCTATATATATATATATATATATATATATATATATATATATATATATATATATATATATATATATATTTAATACATAGTAAGTGAAAGTATTGCGATCGTGAAAATTTTCGAATCTGAGTTTTCAACAGAAATACATGTTTTGAGGTGCCCTGAGTTCAAATAAACCGGTGTCTGTGTGTGTGTGTATTTGTATGTAAGTAAACAGTCTAGCTCAAAAATGAAAAGTCGTATGCAACAGAAATTTCGTATTTAAGATTTGTAAATTGTCACAGCCTGGGATGTCACAGCAACTTTTTCGTCAATATCGGTTCTTCGGAAGTGCCACTTTATATTATCGATTTTACACATATTTTCTCGAAAACGGCTCTACCGATTTTGATTAAATTCATTACATCTGTTTAAAATTGAACATTTTTTTAATATAATCAATGTAGGTCTTATTCTCATTTATATTCTCTATCAGGGCTTAAATGCCTAATTTTCAAAATTGTTTCTACTTAAGTACCTTTAATTTTTTTTATTTGAAATAATAAATAATTTCACATTGGAACATGATATGAAAAATGGTTAAATATGAAAGAATTCGATAATTAACTAAAGAATTAACCTGATATAATTTGTTATTAATAGAGAACAGACAAACCCGAGCTATTTACTTTATCTGAAAATACTCATTTCTTCTAAAATAAGGATGGTAACTGGTAGGTGGTAACAAACAGAAAGTTGTGTGGTGCACGCACCGCACTAGATTTTTATTTTTTTCATTCTTGGGTCATACTTATGGATATCATCTAATCATAATGAAGTTTCTCAGCATCTTGTAGTATCTTAAGATATATAATTTAGACTACCGACATTCTTAATTAAATATCTATATTATAAATGATGTAATTTTTTTATAATAAGTTAAAATATGCACTTTTTGATGAATTTTTTGTATCATGTTTTGTTTTTTCTTAAACCGTGGTTGTATAAGCAATATTTGTATAGGAATGTTTGCCATGACTTTATTACTTTATTTGTATAAAAATATTACGACTTTATTTATAAAAGAGATTTGACACCGGTTGATATTAATTTTTAACATAAACAAAAATACTGATAAATAAACGGTTTTATAAAGTTTCTCCCTTCAATTATAAAATTATTTATTTTTTTTCACTGACGGCTGCCAGTTATTTAGCTTTTGGAGATATCTTATTTTGGTTTTGTTTGATTTATTTCATAGTTTCCATTTTATAATCTAGTTTTTCTTCCGCTTTGGATTGTTTATTAGTAAATATTTTAATAAAGGGAAATCAGCCATCGCGGTGAGAGTTCGATGACATTTTGTGATTGTCTATCTTGATGAAGATTTATTTTTATATCAATAATTTTTAGCTATCTTAATATTATTTTTTCCTTATTTAATTCTCGAAGTAAATTATGTTTTAGAGACCACAATTTACAATCACGTCAACACGGCTCTAGTGCGATGGATTATGAAGAATTAAATCCTCTGTAATAAAACTTTATTATTTTTAATTTCTGATGAATTTTAGTATTTATATTTATCTTGTTACTACTTTTTTTTAGTTAAGTAATCCTGTAGTAAGACCCCGCGTTTACTCCTCGGAGATGCGGTTGGCGAACCGTCGGCAAGGTCAGGGTATATGGTTCGCCCAGTTTGGTACTTTCTCCTCCTCCCGCAATTATCTCGGCTAAAAGTTCCTGTATCATTAGCGCTTAATCGCGTGGTAATGTGCTTGTTTGTTTTTCGGCTTGTAATCTTAATCATCTGAATCAGGACAACATCTAATTACACTTGTTTAATTTATGTATCTATTGTTATAACTACAAATGAACTGTAGTTTGAGATAATTGTCAGGTAATAAACTTATTTAAGGGTTTAGCAGGTTGAAGGTATATTCTTAGCATTCTCCATTCAGAATTGGCTCCGGTTCGAATCCGGCTTGGATGGTTAGATATTTATTTAGTGATAGATCTGCGGAACACTTAGTAACTAACCCTTCCTATCTATACTAGTTGGAGTTTTAAAAATATTAATACTGAATGCTGAATTAGTTTTGACTATAAAGATAGAAAACAAACCTTGTTATAGGACTCCTCAGAGAATAAAAACATCTACTAATCAACAGATAACATAATATAATTAATTGAATATTTAATAGTTGACCGTTGCATTATAAAGGAAGGAGATGGTCCGGGGTTGCGGTCATAAAAAGGCTAAATAGTGGTAAAACTATTTTATTGAAAGCCAACGTTTCGACCCGACTTTGCAGGTCTTCATCAGGGAGGTGTGTTCCTCTAGGAGTTTCACTTAGAACTGAGACTTAGAACGAGACTTTTAGATCAGTTCTAAGTGAAACTCCTAGAGAAACACACCTCCCTGATGAAGACCTGCAAAGTCGGGTCGAAACGTTGGCTTTCAATAAAATAGTTTTACCACTATTTAGCCTTTTTATGACCGCAACCCCGGACCATCTCCTTCCTTTATAATATAATTAAATTTACATTTTTTTTTCTTGATATAACCTCTTCCATTTTTTATACATTTTAACTTTTATACTCCGTCGTCGTCTTTTCGAGCTCTTAATCCAAAGTTCATTGACATTTTTTTTTACAGTTATATCTTTTTAAAATAATAAATATGAAATATTTCACTCTTTTGTCACCTATTTTCTACAATATATACATTTATTTCGTTATATTTTAAAAATATATTATTTTTTGTGGGGAATGTTGCTCATTGAGTTTTCAATTATCACAATTACACTTGAATATAACTTATAAAAAAATTGGCTGTAAACATAGATTAAGGGCCCGAAACGTCGACGATGGATCACATTTAAATTTAAAAAAATGTAAAAACATTAGAATTTATTTCATTAAAAAAAAACACAAATTTCTTTTACATCTTCTAGTCATTAAATAAACAATGGATAATTACATTAATAAAATTCAAACAGCATATTAGGTGAAAGCACCAGTTATGGACAGGGGTCCCAGTGATGGACAGGTTGAACTTAAAATGTAAATAATAAGCTTCCTTGTCGATTTAAAGGTTTCAGTTTTTTCTAGATTGAAGAAAAATACCCTCTATTGATAACTGTATGAACTAAGTTCCCAAAAGATAATTTCAGATTGCCTATCATTGTTGTTTCTATAGTTTTCTTCAGATCAGTCTGTTTCGTACCTTCCTACTAACAGTTTTGCCAAGAGTAAATTGAACATTTATGTTATCTTATCTTTATAATTAAATAAAGATTTTAGAATATTTCTGAGGTATGTCCATTACTGGTACCTAGATTACTAGAACTAATGAATTGGGGGCGTCCAACACTAGTGCAGAAATGATTTTTTTATAAATGGTGATTATACCTGAATATTTTTTTCAATTTTAAAGTGTGAAATAGAAAAAAGGAGATACTACAGATTCTAAATGGCCAACGGATAAATTTATAAATGTAATAATTACGGTGGCATAAGCTAAAAAATCTGATGCGGTGCGTGCATCACACAACTTTCACTTATCAATCTTTTTTTAGCAGAAATAATTATTTTCAGACAAAGGGGAAGTGAAAATAAAAATTATGAACCCTATATTGATTTATATTTCATTGTGGATATTAGTATTTGTATAAATACCCTTATTTATACAATTTTTAACATTTATATCGCTGTATATATACAATTAAATATTAGATAATACCAAGAATAGCATTTATGAAAACCGCATATGTATATTTATATAATATTGTCGGAGTCCTAATCATATGAAGATCATGTTACGTATGGAAGCGTGTTCTAATCTTTCGGGCGAGCTGTATTCCTTTGGTTCCT